AATTTTTGTTCTCTATGGGTTAAGTTGTCAAGTGGTTTCGCTAAACGTCCAGGGGTTAGGTTTGATTTCCCCATTACCTCCGTCAGTAGCGCCGCTACCCTGTCCCAGTATGTCACTACCTTAGGGCATGTCCACCACATGTGTAGATATGTGCCTTTTTCTCCGCAGCCACGCCAGCATGTGTCGGAGGGCGACTTCCCCATTCTACAGAGTTTGACTGGGGTAGTGTACCAACGCATGAGCGTCTTGTAGCACTGTTCCTGATGCAGGACAAATATGGAAGCTTTTGTTGCCGCCTCCCATATGTCCTGCCATTCCCCGCTTTCTAGCGTCTGGTTAAGTTCCCTCTCCCATTGTGTGACATATGCGGGAGTTTGATCGGCCCCCTTCGGGGCAGTCATGTGTGAGTAAAGGAGGGTAATGAGGCCGCTACGTGGTCCCTCAGAAATACATAGTGTCTCAAAGAATGTGGGTCTAGCCCCCGCTGCCGCTCGGACAACAGAGCTCTTGGCGAAGTCCCTAAGCTGAAGGTACCTGAAGTGGTCCCTTGTGGTGAGCGTGGCTAACGTCCTAAAGTTGTCATATGTGCGGAAGGTGCCCTCGTGATATAAGTGCCCATAGCGTTGGATCCCTGTGTCTTCCAGACCCCTAAAGTCTCTAGGGCTCATACCCGGTGGGAAGGCTTTATTGCGCAAATATGGGGTTAGTGATGAGGGCCAGTGTGTTAGACCATGCTTGAGCGCCGTGGTGTCCCAGATTCGTATGGAGTTCCAGATGGCGGGGCATGTCGTGGTGAGGTCAGGTCTATCTGCCTTGGGGATCCAAATCCAGTACTGTGGGAGGTCTGTGCGCATGATAAGAGTTTCCAGGTCGACCCATCTGTGGGAGTCTGGGGGCGAGTGCCATTCAACTAGCTGCGCTAGTTGGGCGGAAAGGTAGTATTGATAGAGGTGTGGAAGACCCAACCCTCCCCTGCTTTTAGGTGTATATAGCGTAGTCCTAGCTATTCTGTGTCTTTTCCTGGCCCATATGAAGTTATCGATAGCTGTCTGCAATGGTTTCAGGTCAGTTTTAGAGACTCTCACAGGGAGCGCCTGAAATAGAAATAGAAGGCGTGGGAGCAAATTCATTTTGACTGCATGCAGTCTCCCTATCCACGAGATTGGCTTCTCGTGCCATCTGTCTAAGTCTCGGAGCAGGGTCTTAAGCAGACGATGGTGGTTCTCTGCGTACAGGTCTGTGTATTGCGTCGTGAGTTTGACGCCTAAGTATTTAATGGGTTGGTGTGAAATCTTTAGAGTTGTCGTTTGTTTTAGTGTTTGTACGTCCGCTTCTATCATGTTCAGGGGCATTCCTACCGATTTATCTAGGTTTATTTCATATCCCGAAACTAGTTGGTAAGTGTCGAGCAACTCAAGGAGGGGGGGAACCGACTCCAGCGGCTCCGTGAGGGTGAGCAAGATGTCGTCTGCATACGCAGAGACCTTAAAGCTCTCCGATGCCACTACCATCCCCTTAATGCTTGGATTGTGTCTTATCAAGTGCAATAGCGGCTCAAGCGCCAATATGAACAGTAGCGGGGACAGCGGGCAGCCTTGTTTGGTGCCATTCTGCTGCACAAAAGGGAGCGGTGATGCACCTGGCACCCGTGTCTGTACTCTGGGGCATGTGTAAAGGGCCTGGGTCGCTCTAACAAAGGTGGGTGGGAAGCGCATCTCCCTGAGGAGCTCAAACATGTAGTGCCACTGAATTCTGTCGAACGCCTTCTCCGCGTCCAGGGATAGGACCAGAGAAGGCGTATCTTTTCTTCCTGCCCACCACATCAGGTCGGTTGCTCGTCTGGTATTTTCATATAATTGTCTGGTAGGGACAAAGCCCACCTGATCCGGATGTATGAGCTTGGGGAGGATCTGGTTCAGTCGGGTGGCTAATATTTTCGCGTAGAGTTTCATGTCAAAATTAATGAGGGATATTGGGCGGTAGTTTGTCACAGACGTGCTGTCTTTGTCCGGTTTGGGTATGAGGGTTAGGTCCGCTGTCGAGAGGTCCGGGTTAGGGCTATCTTCACTTGTCCAATCGTTGTACATTTTAACTAGATGGGGTAACAATTCCTCCCGTAGGAGTTTATAATACGTCCCATCAAACCCGTCTGGCCCCGGGGCCCTCCTCCCCTTCATTACGGCGATGGCTCTGTCAATTTCGTCTAGAGCTATGGGTTCCCCTAGGAATGCAGTTTGTGTCTCCGGGAGTCTTGGGATTTGGGCGGTTGCGAGAAACGCAGCAACCTTGGCGGCGTATGCCTCGTTGTCTCCGGTCAGTGTCGGGGAGTGGTTGTAAACCCTTTTAAAGAAGTTCGTAAATTCCCTGTTAATGTCGTCGGGGTTGGTGAGAATCCTGCCCTGGGAGTCCTTGACAGCAGTAATGGTGGTGGTATTGCGTTTGGGTCGCAGGGCCCTGGCCAGTAGCGTGTCCATTTTATTGGACTTTTCGTAGTATAGTCGTTTTGAGCGTATCAAGTCCTGGCTTACGTCCTCTAGCATAAGTTCTCTTAACTGTCGCCTAGTCTCTTGCAGCGCCCTAGTCTTGTTTGGGACTACGGCCTGTTTATTCTGCATTTCGAGTTTACGTAGTTGTTTTTGCAGGGCGTGCAACTTTTCGTATTTTTCCCGTTTCCGTTGGGTCGCTAATTTAATTAGAACCCCCCGTATGACTGGTTTATGGGCAGCCCACAGCATCGTTGGGGAAATATCCGGGGAGTCGTTTTCCTGAAAGTATTGCGTCACTTCTTGCTTAATAATATTCTGCATTTGGGGGTCCCTGAGGATGGAGGCGTTGAGTCGCCATTTCCATGGGGCATTCGGGCCCGGGTGTCTCAGGGTGAGTGCTATGTCTGCATGGTCGGACCATGAAATGAGATTTATCTCAGACGTCTTGGTCCATTGCATAGCCAACTGGTTAACCAGGAATAGGTCGATACGCGAGTAAGTCGCGTGTACTGCCGAGTAGAAGGAGTAGTCCCTCAGGCTCGGGTGTTGGATCCTCCAAGGGTCAAGAAGTCCCGTGCATTGGATGAAGTCATTGAGCAGTTTATCTTGACCTCCTCTGTTCTGCGACCGAGGAAGGTCGCTCCCCCCCCCTCTGTCAACTGCCGGGCATGGCGCTGCATTTAAGTCGCCCCCCAGGATCAGGATGCCCCTCGGTAGGGCTGTTATGAGTTGCTCAAGGTCTGACCAGAATTGTCGGGAGGGGGTATTTGGGGCATAGACATTAATTAGGTGGTAGGTATGGGCATGTAGAACGCCGGTCAGGACCACATAGCGGCCCTCTGTGTCCGTCTGTACCTTGGTAATTTGCAGGGGGCATCTTTTATGTATGAGTATTCCTACCCCATTCCGCTTGCAGAGGGCACGCGATTCGTGAGCCTTAGTGTAGATGTGGTTTGTGAGGTGCACTTTGGCCGTGCGGGATATGTGCGTTTCTTGGACGTAAGCGATATCTGCCTTCTGTCGTCTAAGCTCCCTAAGTAGGAGTCTACGTTTATTGGGGACGTTGAGACCGTTCACATTAAGGGAGGTCAGTTTAAGGTCCATGTCGCCTAGTGGAGTAATGTGCCTAGGGGGTTACCTGCTATTCCTGAGGCACACCAATGACCGCTGAAGTTCTGTGTTGCTGGGGACGTCCCCACCACCGGCTGCGGCTCTAGAGGGGAGAAGAAGAAGAGAAGATCGGGTGAGAGAGAGTGAAGCACTGCGGTGGGATCGTGTATGCACAAGCACCTTCCAATACAGGGGGCAGCGAGGTCAATGCCGCTTCAATTCGTGAAGTCGGGTTGAAAACACAAGTATAAACTATATACAAAACAATCTACAAACTGCACGCAAAGGACTGCGATACAGTCAATACAACAGTCAGTAGTGCTACTGACTTTCCGGGTCTTACTATTTGCCAGGAGCTATGGGGGTGGGCGTCCACCGCGTCAAGGGAATTGCCTTAAACGGGGGGGAGGTTCAGCCTAGTAGCACCCTGGCAATGCCCAAATAGTATAATGATACAGCCCTAGTGAGGACGGCGGTCGTTCAGTGGAGCCGGTCCGCCATGGGCTAGAGAGAGCGTGTATGTGGCCCTGTGCGGAACTATTGGGGGGAGGAGTCCCAAGTGTGGCCCATCTAGGGGTTGAGTGCCTCACGGTGCCCTCTGGAGCTGGGTGCTGTCACTTTGGAGGGAGTGTGGGTCGTATTATTTCCCCCTTTCGGGGGGCGTGAAAAGGGTCAGTCAGTGGCACTCCACCGGTCAAAGGGCATTCCAAGAAGCCCTGCTCCCGGAGGCCCATCCCCCCCATACTGCAGCATGGTCCCCGGTCCTGCCGGTCCCTCACCCTCTACCCCCCCCGCTACGTTATGGCTCCCAGGCCTGGATTCCCCTCAGCCCGTGACCATAACCTGTGGGGACGCTAGTTGTTTACTCCATGCCAGAGCGATGAGTGTGTGTCCCTTCCTTCCCTTTTTTATTAAATTAATTTTTTTTTCTTCCCTTTTCTTCCACCCCCCCCCTTCTTTCTCCCCCCTCTCCCCCCACCATCCCCCCATCGCCCCCCCCTCCCTGCTCCGGTCCCGTGCGGATAATAAGTTACCACTGTTGTGGGTGATCACACTTCGACCCCTGCCGCAGGGGGCTGGGAGTCCTGAGTACAGGCCACATGACAGGGCAGGGACCCCATTACCCCCGAAGAGTCTTTTCCCCGTGGGCCCCCCTGGGGCCAGTCCCTCCCACCAGCACCCCCACAACCATGCAGCCCCCAAACCTGTCCCAGTCCCGAGTTCCTAGGTAACCAGCAGTGTAAGATTAAACAAAGTTCAGAACCCAGTCACAATTAACTTGCGTGTGGCCTAAGTGTAAGATTAAACAAAGTTCAGAACCCAGTCACAATTAACTTGCTTGTGGCCTGGTGTAGTCTCCGATGGCGGTCCATGCTCCGCGACATCTGGTTCAGTCTTTCTGGTTCACATGGCGTTGCTTTCGGTGGGGAGCATGGGTAGCGCTGGCGGAGCAGTGGCAGGGAACGGAAAATCGTCGGGCACATCAATGTCCAAGCCTTTAAGGAATGCCACGATATCGGAGGACGGCTGGAGTACTGCAGGTTTAGGGCCGTTGAAGACCAGGATCTTAAATGGATATCCCCACGCAAATCTCAGGCCATGCGCGCGGAGCAAGTCGGTTACCGGCTTCCACTCTCTTCTCCGGAGGAGCATGGCTGGGGCAATGTCCTGATATAGCTGTATGACTGCGCCAGCTATTTCAAACGTTTTCGTCCTGCCGAGTCGCAGGATGGCCTCTTTAGTTTTAAAATAGTGCCATTTCATAATTACGTCCCTTGGGGGACCGTGTTTAGGGCCTCGCGCTCTGAGGGCTCTATGCGCTCTATCAATCAGCCAGAGGTGCTCAGGGATGTCAGGGAGCTGCTGTTTGAAGTACGCTGCTATAATCTCCCCCAGCTCTGCTTCTTCAACGGATTCCGGTAGGCCTCTTATACGCAAGTTATTGCGCCTCGAACGATTCGAGACATCCTCCAGCTCTAGCTCCAAATCAGTGATTTTGTGGAGCAGAGTGTTGGTGAGGGCTGAGGCCGTGTTGTGGGCTGTAACTACAGACTCCATGCGTTTCTCTATAATGGCGGTTCTGGCCCCTATGGCCGCGATTTTGGCCTTCACTTCCGCTGCTGTGCGGGTGATTTCCCCTGCAAGGTAGCCCTTCACTTCTGCCAAAGATTGCAGAATGGCAGTTGAGGAAGCCTCCATGGGGGGTCCCTCGATCTGGGGGGGTCACAGTGTACCTGGCCTGTGGGGCTGGAGGCCGCAGAGACGCCACGTGGTATAGGCCTCTGCGACGCGAGCATTTTCGCCACCGACGGCACTTCTTTTGGCTGCTTTTTGGAGGGTTTGCGGCTGGACATCCGTGCCCCGGCTCCCGTGTCGGAAGGTAGCTGTGGCGGCACGCCGTACTGCTCGGTGTAGTCGGGCTGTGGCTGCTGAGAGTGCTTATTGCTGGGCATTGGGTGCGGAGCTCACAGGCTATGCGGCCATCACGGTCGGCAGTCAGACCACGCCCCCCCATAATTTGGTATTCTTAAAATGGTATCCTACATAAGGGCACCAAATTAAGGAGTTGTCTATGAAACGGCTAAAAGAGCAAAATTATGAAAAAGCCCTTTAAAAAAACAACAAAAATAAAACAACACATAGAAACATAGAAACAACAGCTCTTAATTGGCTTAAAAGTTGCTCACCACTGCAAGCATGGAAGGTCCATGGCTCACCAACCAGAGGTACATTTCTACTTGCCAGTTTCTACTTGCCAGTGGGTTATTGTAAATTTTGATCTATCTATCTATCTATCGCTCTGTCTATCTGTCTATGTCTGTCTGTCAGTCTGTCTGTCTATGTCAGTCTGTCTGTCTATGTCTGTCTGTCTATCTATGTCTGTCTGTCTGTCTATCTAACTGTCACATAACTGGTAGCTTTACGTTGTATAGAACTTTTCTTGACATTATGCAGGCCCAATATATAGGTTTATCTTGAAATCGTCTACACACATTTTCATACAGATTCTCCCTCAGCGCACTACTTTAACTAATATCTCTGTGTTTCCTGTCCTTCCTCTGGTAAGTTTAAATAATGATTTCTGTGATAAGCTGGTGATGTGTTATTTTACAAAGCTACGATAACAAACATGCTTGCTAGAAGAAACGAGGGCATGTATCCATTTACTTTAGAGATGGAGTTTATTGAATAAAACCTTTTTAATGGAGTGTTTATGATCCCACTCAGCTAAGATGTTGGAAGCTCTCTTAATACAGTCTCTCTCCACCTTGGCAGCTAGTGGATAATCAATACAGGTAATATGTCAGTCAGTGGTCAGCACTCCGTTTAAAGAATGGCTGTAAGTCTGAAATACAAACTGACAGGTAACCACTCAGCCTGTGCAAGGATAAAATACACTGAAAAATGAATCTTCTCTAGGGAGCATTATCATAGCCTTCCACATACAAAGGGTAGAGAGGAGATCAAAAATCCCACAATCCCCTCTGAACACTGGGCAATATGACATGTATTTAACCTTTACATAGCAATGTTCTCAATACATATAAACAGAATGATTAATGTTGCCTTTTGAATTTAAATTGCAAACGTGTTATTAAATTAAAGGGACACTGTAGGCATCAAAACAACTTAAGCTTAATTAAGTAGTTGTGGTGTATAGATCATGCCCCTGCAGTCTAACTACTCAATTATCTGCCATTTAGGAGTTAAATCGCTTTTGTTTCTGTCCATGTAGCAATAGCCACACCTCCCTGGCTGTAACCACACAACCAATGAAGGTTAATTTATAATCATATGTTAACTTACTGTAGAAGTTTTTGTCTCCTGCTCTGCCATTTGAACTTTAATCACACACAGGAAGCTCCTGCAGGATCTAGCAAGCTATTAACAGAGCAAGAGATAATAAATTCTAAATTAAACAGAATGTGCAATAAAGTAAGTGTAAACATTAGATGCAGGGTGACCAGATCCACCATGTTTTCTGGGACACCTATCATATATAAATATTGATGGACAGCACATGAAAAGGTAGCCCTATAGTATGTAGAATTAAGAAGAAGGTATATAAGATTAAGCAATTAGGCAATGAAGAATCCTGCAGAATATGCATTATACATACTGCAGGGAAACCCTTTTCATGTGTTTTCATAAATATGTGTATCTGTAAACATGGTGGATCTGCCACCCTGATAAGATGTCTCTTTACAGGAAGTGTTTAGGAAGGCTGTGGAGGTCACATGCAGGGAGGTGTGACTAGACCTGTATAAACAAATTGATTTTACTCCCAAATGACAGAGAATTGAGCAGTGAGACTGTAGGGGCATGATCTATACACTAAAACAGCTCCATCAAGCTATAGTTATTTTGGTGCCTATAGTTTCCATTTAATTCACCATTATTGCCACAAAGTTATTGCTATAAATGTAATTTGTTTTAAGGGATACTTGTGTCATTAGGGAATTGTGTAGAATTTACAAAGAAATTTCATATTTCAGGCCAAACAGTAAGAAAAAACAAGTGATCTTTTTTCCAGTTACGGTCTTTCAGCCTAAAGTTTCACTATTTCTTGTGTTATTGTATAAGTGCTTGTGTGTAGCACATAATGGGTAGTTTTACATTGCAATAAATGTCTAATTTTCTTGCCACTACGCTGGCCCGAAATATAGATTTATTTTGATATCCTAAATTCACTAGATTACTACCTTAAAAACTCAACGATTCAAGCTTGAAGAGCAAGTTAAGACAAAATTAATAATTGAACGGGAAAAATATTCAGGTGAATTTAATTTCCAAAGCTGATTTTGTTGTCAGTTTGTTTCGTTCGGCTGCGTTGGATATTTTTCACTCTGTCTGCCCCCACTCTCAGAGAAGAGACATTGGGATAAATCCATCTATCCAGGATGAGACTTTTAGCTAAGTTACTGTTAATGCTCATAACCTAGCTCTGTGCTCAATCACTCACTGCTCTATGGTGGTAAAAGGGAATCTGTGTATTCCCCACCATGCCCCCAATTTAGGGAGTGGAGGGGTTTTACTTTTTCGTACAAATATACCATTACTTACACAGTGAGTGAGCTCATGTCCTGTTACTTCTCCCTAACCTTTACAGAGTAAATATATAAATAAATAAATATATACATATATAATACACAAGATCCAGCGCACTCACCTATCCACTAAACAGCAACTTCAATGTTGAAAGATTTTATTTGTTTTTTTAAAAACACCTAATCTAGGCAAAAATAATGGGGGTTTAGTTACATTATATGATCATACAGTGCAGGCTTATGCACTGTATGATCATATAATGTAACTAAACCCCCATTATTTTTGCCTAGATTAGGTGTTTTTAAAAAAACAAATAAAATCTTTGAACCCCTTTATTTAATGGCATAGTAGATGCGCTGATCTTATTTCTTCTATTATTTACCCCCAGCACCCCCATTTATGCATGTTAAGGTGAGTGCAGCCAACCCCTCTTGTTTTATATATACATAAATAAATATATACATATATATATATATATATATATAAATGGATCAGCTATTCTGGGAGTTATTGGCTTACCCACTCAGTTTATTCACGCATTTTCATAAATTCAACTTCCGCTGAACTACAACTCCCTCTGCCAATCTGAATTTTATGGTATGTGTTCTGTTCTGTTCTCAGAATACTCTTGCGACCTGTTTTTTGCTCTCCATAAATTTAAAGGGTAATCCAGATGTGGACCCCTTGCTCACTGTGCCTAGAGAGATATCAGCTGTGCCTCACTGATGATGCCTAACAAGGCTGAAACGATCGTCTGGGGTTGCTGTGTCTCTCGTGCAGAGAGAACTTGCTGGCATTTTGGATCTGGACTGCACCGTATGGGTGGGACCAGTCTGATATGCATCAGATATGTTCTCTCTGTAATGGCACAAGATGAGCTAAAACCAGCATGAGTTCTGAGCGGGGACCCACTGAAGGGCAGGCTATTTTAGTTGCTGTCCGTTCTCAGAATACTCTTGCGGCCTGTTTTTTGCTCTCCATGTGTTCTGTATTCCCTTCTGTGACAGAGGAAAGGGCAAATATTGGAAAAGAAGTATCAGCCTCCTCCTGATCTGTGTAGAAGCTAAAGATTTGCAACAAGTAGCAGGAATTCTGAAGCCCCTTATTTATCCCATTTTTAATGCAAAGGCTAGAGGTCATTAAACACGTTCTGTCTGTGTTTCTTTATGTTTAACAAATCTTGTTGCAGTTATTGGAAGCAGTGCAATATATCCCAGTGCTCTATAAACAGTCACAAAGATACTGTAAACATAATAGAAACCCCATACCGAGTCTCATGGTGGACATTCTGTATATTCCAGAGACTCCGTCAGAACCCTCTCTAATAGTATAGGAGCTGGACAATATCTATTGATCTATGCATTTGCTAGACATTTGGCTTAGACAATGTTTAAATACAGGAGCAATCTGTCATGTTATGCATGACAGAGTCCCTCTAATCAGGCATGCTTCACACACACAGGGAGTCTCTGCTTTAATTAATAGTTCTCTCTGGACACTGTACCTGGGTGATGGAGGATGGGTGCTAAACCCAGAAGCTTGACCAGATTTAAAACAGGAAATAGAAAAGGAAGTGTAAGTGTGAATTAATTCAGCTTGCAATG